GTTGAGTTAATATTTTTCAAGGTACAATCAATTTAGACGTTTGGCAAGTCAAGCTGAGTTAATATTTATCAAGTTGTCGATCATTTTAAGCATTTGGCATGCTGAGTTGAGTTAATACTTTTCAAATCGTTGATCATTAAGCATTTGGCATGCAGAGCTGAGTTAATATTTTTCAAATTATTTATCACTTTAAGCATTTGGCATGCTGAGTTGTGTTTTTTATTCATCATTGCACACAGATGACACAAGGTTATGTATTTCAGCCATTGTTTGAAAAAGTCATTATATTTTAAAAGCAATTTCTTGGGGCTTGTGGGAATGTTCTTTAGAAGATGAGTTATTATTGTGTGCCAGGATGAAATACCATTTGGAAAGTTACAGTTTTAAGCCTTGTTAAGGCTAATCTGAAAACCTAAGGGTCACCAAACACCTTAAACAGAGATCAGTGACGGAAATAACTCTTTAGTTTCACAAATCAGAGTCACAGTTGCTGCCTTCCATTTACTGTATTTCTGCAAACACCTAAAGCTACATCAGTGTTTTGAAGTAGGTGTTCATTGCTATGCACATGATCATCTATTGTAAATGTTATGTAGCTAAAAGGATGAGCAGCTTTAACCATTCTGAAGGTTAATTCAGCCAAAGTAATATAGACTTTTACAAAATAAGGAAACTAAGCCAGTTATCAGTGCAAGGAAGATAATGGTTGTGCATAGTGTCTTAACAGGATGCCACACATAGAAAAAACATCTGTATCATCCATTTATATTTTAATGTCAAATGAAAACAGAAAGCTTGATAATCCCAAACCCACCACAGGAGGAAAGAAATGTTTTAAAGAAAGCAGCCACACCTTTAAAAACAAGTTGATTTAATAACTTTGGTGGCTTAATTAATAACAATGAATGTTTTTTTATTTAGAGGGGTTGGATGACTAAACTGCTTCTTGTATACTTTGTCATGTTTGTCAATTGCAGTTTTCCCACCTTTTCTTTCTGTAATCAATCAAACCAGCATAGATACTCTACACTTTAGTCCTTCTGTAGTACTGAGTTAAAATCCTTACATCAGGATGGTGTTTGTAAAGCTTTACCTCTTGCTGCTTCCATGTTTAGTCTCCCGCTATACTTCCCCCTGTCTAAATAAAGACTAAAAGAGCCAAAGGTGAGCTAACTGCCCACTCTGCTGCTGAAGGTTCTCACTTTATTGTTTTTGAGGAGCTGCCAAAAGCCACTTGTGTCTGCCTGTGCTGACACAGCATCAAATGTTTAAGTTTGTTCAGTTATTACATAACTCCCCTGAAGCATAAAGGTTTGTTTTCCTATTTTGGACCATATTGGACCATATTCTGAAATTCTTTTATTATTATTATAGGTTAGTGTTGTTACAGGTTTCATTGACGCCCTGATGATTATTTTCACAGGATGTAGGACCTCCTTCAAGCCCCCAAGCCAGCGGCGAAGGCCTATACTTCAGCGACGGGCAGCGGAAAGTGGACTATGTTCTGGTTTTTCATCACCGGCGACATGGCTCCCTACGATCTCCCACCACCGCCTCGGTGTCACAGGACGAGCTATCCATAGTATCGAACGGCAATTTCCCTCCGCCGTCGAGTTCTGAGGCCTTGGCTGGAGGAGGAGGTGGCCTTCGGAGGGAGGACGCAAGCGTCGGGGAGGTGTTCATGGAGCTGGGAATGGCGAGAGGGAGCGGGGCGATGGAGGCCGCTGATCATGAGATGCAACTGATCAGACAAGAGTTTGAAGCCAATCTGCTGGAGGCGGGTCTGGAAGTAGAACGAGACAGAGAGGTGGGTGTCCTGGTAAGGTTCCTATTCTACTTTTGAAGTTCTAGAACGGAGGTCTTCAAAAAGGGGGTACACGACCCCTAGGGGTCCACGGAGGTACTGCATGGGGGTCGCAAAAATTCTGGTTGACTAGATTTTTTTTATGTTCCCCCCTGCATTTTTTTTTTATACTAATTGAAATGTCTTTAAATCCACATTAACATGAATTCAACAGACTGTAGTAAACAGATAAATGGAGGCAGAAGATGTCTTTCAGTCATCAATGCAAACATTCAGCGACACACAGGAGCTCTATCAAACTGGGCACCGTTTCATTCACAACACCTGACCCATCAACCAGGAATCAGAAATACTTTAAGAATTCCAGGGTGAAATTACTTTCATTACATTATTCCATATATAATAGGGTTACTATAGGACCAGTTTGATATAACACAATTTCATAGAATATATTTAATTAGGGGGTCCCCGCTCCATTTCGCCATCAGTTTGGGGGTCCTTGGCCTGGAAAACATTGAAGACCCCTGTACTAGAAGACAAATTCTTACTATATTTATTATTGTTGTGTTGATTAGGGCTGCAACTAACAATTTTGCAAAGCGATTAATCTGTTGATTATTTTTCCAATTAATTGATTAACATTTTTTATGGAATTAAAGCAGGTGAAACTAAAATTTTTCCACTTGAGGAGTTCTGGATAGATTGACAGATGCAAACATTATTTTTATCTTAAAACCAAAATTTGTATATAACTTTTTATAATTTTAGTATAATTACTGCTCTATACTCCAGTTAACAATTAAGCGATTATTAAATTAGTTGACGATTATTTCAATAAATAGCCTTCTTGACCAGATCATTTTCAATTTGCCTAATTAGACCGAAGTTATCAGAAATTCACAGAATAAAGCTTTGTCACGCTTATTCCAAGGGGGGGTGCTGGTGCCTATCTCCAGCGGTCTATGGGCGAGAGGCGGCGTACACCCTGGACAGGTCACCAGTCCATCACAGGGCAACACAGAGACAAACAGGACAAACAACCATTCACACACACACTCACACCTAAGGGGAATTTAGAGAAACCAATTTATCTAACAGTCGTGGTTTTGGACTGTGGGAGGAAGCCGGAGTACGCGGAGAGAACCCATGCATGCTTAGGGAGAACATGCAAACTCCATGCAGAAAGACAATGAGTCGGGAATCGAACCCAGAACCTTCCTGCTGCAAGCATGCAGTGCTACCCACTATGCAGCCTGCAAGCAAAGAAAAGTTTTATTAAAAAATATTCAATTAAGAAATTAAACTTCTAAAGAATTCTTGATCAAAAAAAGGTTCTGAATTGTTTTTTTTCTAATCAACTTATTTTTTTCTATTTTTTTCATGTTTATTTTCAAAATTAAATATTTAAAAAGTTTTTTATTTTATTTTTTTAACAACTTCCTTTTTCAGATTGAGTTTTGCATTCTTCTCAAACTGTGTTTTCAAGATCACATTCTCTTCCCTTCTGGGTGCGGATATCCTCTTAAACGAGGAGCTAACAAAGACGCGTTTCTAGTGGTCTGCATGGATGTTAGCAACAATATTTTCATTGGTTGGTTGGAGGGTTTAAGTATCGGCATTGAAGTAAATAGAATGTAATGTGTGAAATGCAATTCGAAAAGAATACAGTTTGATAAACTGGGTCGGAAAAAGAGAAAAGGGAAAACATGCAATTTGAAACTAAAAAAAACATTAAAAAAGAATAATAAAGTTTCAATAATAATAATAAAAAAAAAGAAAATCAAGAGACACAATAAATAAATACAAAAAGTACTTTCCTACCCTTCTTTTCCTGGATTGCAGTTTTTTTCAAATTTCCATTTTATGTTCTTTGCTTAAGAAAATAATGAAACAAAATTCACTCCATATTCTCAAGGATGCAAAGTTAAATTCAATTCAGTTTATTTCTATAGCGCCAATACATAACACATGTCATGTCAAGGCACTTTATTGTTCACCAGATCATACAGTCAAAGTGATTCAAATCTAAGGATAACCAGTTTATTGCATCGACTTATTGACTCGAATGCAGCCCTCACACTAAGCATGCTTGTAGCGACAGTGGAGAGGAAAAACTTCCTTTTAACAGGAAGAAACCTCCAGCAAGAACAAAGGTGAGACGGAACTTTTTCACAATTATATTTTGTGAAAAGCTTTTAAAATGATTTTTTTTTTAGAACTGCTGGTTAAAATTGAAGTATGTTTGCATTCATATTGAATACCCAGATGACCTAATATTTAACAGAAATGCACAAGCTTTGGTTGTGTGTCCTGAAATTTTCCACACAAGGGTAATTCCTTTCTCAGCGCTGGAATCTGAACTGACAGTGATTATATGGGCCAGATTGTAATTCCAGTCCCTGAAGCCAACACAGCTGTTGTTCACCACCATCAGTATCGATTAACTCCCTCAGCCCTGAAACGGGTAATCTTATTTGGACGAGATCGCCTTCTTTGCCGTCACTTTTTGTAGCTGGACCAAAAATCCTGCTTTTCAGCCATCGTCGTTGTATGCATCTATTGCAGAACAGACAGTAACTGGAACAAACGCGGTTCTACATGGACCACCTCCGTGTGTTAGCAGTAATGCGTAACTGAGTCATTTTCACAAATGAAGTGTAAATCCCTTAGCAATAGCTTTTATTTTTTTATACCTTTAATGTGAAACAGATATAGGTGTCTAAATGTCTAGTTTGTCTGAGCTGGCCTGCAGCCAGTTGACAGTGTGCACGCTCTGCAAACTATTATTAATCAGACTGTAACCTGCTGTGGAACCATAGCCAGTGAAGGTAAGCGGATTGACTAATGGCTCCATATCTCATCTCATGGATTGAAGTTAAGATTAAATCTTCCCTTCGTACTAAAGGAACAGTTTCACTCTAATATTCTCTTCATTTGCAGGCTCAGAAGGTGGTGTTACAGAATTAGTGGGTCCCATGTTCATACTGCTCATACTCTGAACATGCTATTTATTCTGCTTAAAAACATTTTAGAGCTTTGGAGCATAAAAAACAAAACAAATTTGACTGTTCCTTTTGGCATAATCTCACTAATTCTTTCTAGAGGTATGAGCCCTAGTTTAGCAAGCAGGTTTTCCACAGGATTTAGCTCTCAGGACTGAAATTACCAAGGAAGAAGGTCTATTTAGTGTCAGGTGAAACCTTTCTCTGTTGGTTTGGCCATTTGTTACAGGTAATTATCCTGCTGAAAGAGCCATTAAGGAGCTATTTTCATTTTACTAGTTGAGGGCAAAATGTTCTCTGACAAGATCCCCAAGGTGTTTAGAAGAAGCCCACGGCTTTAAACAACCTCTATAATGTTTGGCATCGAGTATGAGGTTCTTTGCCTGTAGATTTTTGTCCTGTTTTGTTGGACTCTGTGTTCACTACATGATGGAAATACATTTTTTTTAGCAGCACCTCAGCAAAACCTTTGCATGATGTGTCTAAGCATTCTTGATATGTATTTTCTCTTGAATTCCATTTTGTCAAAGCAGACCGATTATCCCATTTGAGTTAGGGAAGCTTAACATGTCTAGGTGCTATGGAGTGAATTTTGTTTCATTATTGTTGCAAAAACATGTTGTGTAAATGGAGATAAAAAAAAACCCAAAATGCAATGCGGAATTGAAACTTTTACACTTTATATAAAAAAAAAGGGTTTTAAGAGTAACAGTTGCTGTTTTCTTAGATTTTGATTTTTAAAATGTATTTTTCATTCCAATTCTAGGTCTATAAATGAAAAACGTATAGCAAATAACAGTTACTTTAATAAAAAAAAGCAACATAGTTCACTTTCCCTACATTTTCATTAGTCCACCTGCCGTAACGCCATACAACTGGCGGCCATCTATATTTCCCACCTGTTTAAGGAGCCGTACTAACACGGTACAGCTCCTTAAATAGATGCTAAGTAAACTGCCACTTTGAAAGGGTAATTATTTAAATTTCTATTGTTTACTTTAATGTGTGACAGATATTTATTTTTACTATGGTTCCATGTATTCACACTGGGCTCCCTCTAGGGGGTATGCCACCCATTATCAGGTGCTCCAGCACATTAGAAAGTTGTAGCTTTAGAAAAAAACATGCTACTCTTAAAAGAAAAACAGGAATAAAAAAACAACAAAATCCTGCATCATACTTGCCCTGTGGAAAAAAACAAAATTAGTAAAATAATACTTGTGCATCACTGGAGACATGGCTCCCCTATGATCTGTTCATTTAATTTTCTGTAATTTTTGAAGCATTTGTTTTCCTCAAAATAAAAAAGAAAAAGAAAAATAATCCTCCCACTGCGTTAAATCGAATATTTGCTTTTTTTTAATTAAGTTTTTAGCATCTGAACATTTTAATTTTGCATTAAAGGCTTTTAAAGCACCTTTATCCTGGGAGCCAATAGATACGGAGGACGCTTTAATGTTGCATTAATCTACCGAATCCTGGCCTATTATAATATAATAGGTGGAAAATGACAAACAAACCTCTTGTAAATATACTTACATCACAAAAAGCATTAACTGCTGTCTGCTTAGCCTGTAGTAGGATTAGATGTGTTTTAATAACCATTATAGTACCAAAGGATTAAGGTTAATCTTGGAGCTGAGTTACAACAGTGTGGGTATTAAACATGGAGTGTTAAATCTCATTAATAAAAAAAATAATGATTATAGAATATCAAACACGGCTTAGTTGAATGTATGTAGTTCAATTTGAGGTTAGTGAATTATTAAAAAAGAAACATAGCAAAAATAACCAGGATTTTCATCCAAAGGTGGAAGAAAAACATAAAATTATTGTTTTTCTTCCAGAAATTTTAGAGATTTTAAACTTTAAAACTTGATGATGATTCACAAGATTGTAAAATCCTCATCATTTATAAGTTTGTGTATTTTAGAAAGCCTAGTAAGTAGTATATTTGAAGTTCATTTAGTTAAGTACACTTAAGGTAGTGTACTTGAAAGT